TTATTTTTCTGAGACTATATAGGAAATGAAATATTAAAAGAATGAAAAATGGGTGAAAGTTTATGTTAAGTATTATGTTTTAATTTGTTCACAAACAGCAACAGAATGAAGAATACCAGGTACATGGTAGGACCGGAAAAGCCAGGCATTATCAAGAGGTTAGAGCAGGAAACAGGTCAGGCATCTCAGACGTCAAGGATTGGGGAGCATGTGGGACAGGAACATTCATGATATCAGACACCAGTTATGCACAAGTTAAGCTCAAGTTCATTCTTTCAATAAATAGATGTGAAATGCCTAATATGTGCCAAGAACTCAGCCAGGACAAGGGACAAAGTGTTGAAGGAGTCATAATCCCTATCTTCATGGGACTAGCAGTGTAGAGGGAAAAACAAACATTAAATAATCTTTTAAATAACAACTGTACTAAGTGCTCTAAAGCAGACTAACTAGGGTATCGACTTGACCAGGACAGTCAAATTTAGATGAAGCTTCAGGTAGGTATCAAGCGAGTCAGGCAGAAAAGTAGCCAAGTTCAAGGCACCACAATCAGATGTAATAATATGGAACTGACCTTCAGCTGAGGTTCAGCTTAGCTGGGGCTTCTTGGCTACCTCTGCGAAGTTAGAGAATGATTCCAGGATGCGGGTAGTAGGCAGGTAAGGTAGAAAAGTGATTATACTTGACAAATGAGTGTGAGAAAATGCTGATAGGTTCTCTTCCAGTGTCTCAGCAGACCTGGTCATTAGCTCATTTGAGAACATACTCTTGTTCTTCATTGTGCATTTCACTCTAGGCATTGGCTCAGATGCATTGTAGATTGTGTTGGCCAAAGGGTTTCATGAATTACTTTGGAGAAGAGTCTTAATGTATTTAATGCCAGAATATTTTCCATACCTAAAAGATAATTGCTTTCAAATATCATGACAATTATGAAAACTCCAAACTTTATACATATATAGAGGTCTTGATCTTTTTCCCAGAAATGTCAAGTTCTATTTTATTATTACTATTATTTTAATTTAATCCAGCATATTTATTGAGCACATTCTCTGAGCCAGGCACTGTTTTAGATGCTGGAATTAAAGTGATGAAAAAGATAAATATAGGCAGACCTTAGGTGATTAGGTAATTTATCATCTAACCTGGGACACTTCTGAGAGTAAAAGTGAGCACTATTAATAATTTTGCTGAGACAGGGTGACCGGTTAGCTCAGTTGGTTGGAGCATGGTGCTGATAACACCAAGGTTACCAGTTTGATCCCCGCATGGGCCACTGTGAGCTGTGCCCTCCCTAAAAGAGTAAACTATGCCATTGTAGCATGAAAGCAATGTGTAACCAATGACCATGGCTGTTCNCCTAGACACAGCACAGTAACATTGCTGAAAGCCAAGGCATTAACAAACTTAAGCAGCAAATGGAAGAAAAAAGTTTTACTTCTCTGCTATATAATCCTTATCCTCAACAAAATTATCTAAAATCCCTGTGAGATTTTTTTTTTCTAACAAGAGACTTTAACATTCTCTGTCACCAAGAACCTTATTTGACATTGTGTCCTATCCTTGGAATTGCAAGAAATAATATGAAATACAGGAAATGAAAAACAAAGAAAATAAATATCTTTCTGATGGGCCTGTGGCTCCTGCAAATAAGATTGCTTAGTGGCCAGCAGGGGAAACAAAGATGAAAAAGCAGAGAAAGAAAATTAAGAAAACACTAATTTAGCAAAAAATAGTTTTTAACAGAAATTTTAAAGGTTCATTTAAATGTGATCCCTAATTTAAAATTTGTTTAAATTAGATGTTGTAGTCTAATTTTACCTTAACGTTAAAGAAAGTTGGTCACTGAGCCTGGAATTCCAGTAGCTGCTACTTAATTTACCTCCACAACCTTCCTCAGTTATGTTGATCCAAGTGCCATCAGGAGCTAAAACTGATGTCCGAGAGTCCCTGTGTCTGGCTGGGAACCCTGGGCTGAACTCTGAGTTCTAGGATCCGGCTTGTAGAGACCTTGCCCAAGTCATTCAGCCTCTCAGAGCCTCAGTTTTCTCCTTTGACGGGGCTGGGTGAAAATTGTTATGATTCCTAAAGACTAGAAAAGCCTGTGATTCTGTGGGTTTTACTTTTGGTCTGGCTACTCTGTGTCAGGGTAAGAACAAATTGACATTATAGGTCTCAGTTCCTGCAGATCTCCTTGATTTTGCTACTTGTTTTTCTGTTTTAAAATAATTTTTTTGAGGTGGGAGGAAGGGCCAGTGGTATGAACTCAAGGCAACTCAAGTCATTATTCTGAGCCTGTTTCTTCATCTAGAAGTCAGAGGGTTGAATAATTGCTTTCTAAGGCCCCTTCTAACTTGACTTTCTAAGGGAACTATGGAGGTTTTAGCAGTTTAGGTAACCTATTGCCTCCCAACTGGGATGAAGCCTCTATTTGAGGAAAGTTGAGTGCTACTGCCCAGCTCCTCTGAGCAACTGTATCTCAGCTCATAGCTGAATAGCCAGAAACTTAATTGAATATTTGAGACCTGAAATTATTTAACCTCATTTTTTTTAATGCTAGATTGAAGAACTGGAAGGAATGAAGATTATTAGGTTTTCTAGTCCTATTTTTTATGGCAACGTCGATGGTTTTAAAAAATGTATCAAGTCCACAGTAAGTATTTTATCCCTAGAAATGTGCTTTTTAACCTCCTTTGAGACTTCATTTATTCTGCAGGTGTTTATTGGGCTCAAACTGGGCATAAAGCTCTATACCCTATTCCCTTTGTATAAGGCATTAAGAATGAAAGCATCCTTACCCTCAAATAACTTGCAACCTATTGGGGATAGGAAAAAATAAATAACACACATGTTAAAATTCAGGTAGCAATAACTATGCTGGACAAAAACACTAGAGTTGTCTCCAGGCCGAATTTGAGTAAATTCCAAATGAATAGAATAGACAGTATGTGTTAAGAGTTCATAGAAGGGAGCGATCCATGTTAGTTGGACTCATCAGACTTTGTGTGGCAGTCAGCAGAGAGAAGATCATATCAGGTGTTTGGGAACTAGGTGAGCTGAGAGGAAAAGGTGGAAACATGTATTGGGGAGAGTATTGCTCAATTGGAGTAAAAGGTTAAATAGCATAAGGGGACTATGGAAACAGGAAATTCTGAATTCCATGCTGTGATTCAAAGTTGGGTTTTGCCTCTATATCTGTTTTACCATATGAGTTCTAGGGTGAACTGGTTCAGAGGAATATTCATAGATTTTCCAATAACGACAGAGCTCTGTAATATCAAGGAAATTTGGAAAACACAGAATTAAAGTTAAAGAAGTTACTTTTCACTGTTATGTTTTTGATTGTCTTGGAATCTTTAATATTCTACTGAGTTTCTGGGTGGGGGGGGGTAAGGTGGCCTGGTAGTGGAGACCTCCATCAGACCTCAGAATTTCTTATTTGGCAGGACATCGCAAGAAATAATACCACTTGAGAAATAACCTTTCCAGATAACAATTGTCATTAATGAGCATTAGGAACCAGATGTTTTAAGTAACTTGACATTTATTTCCAAAGGTGGGATTTGATGCCATTAGAGTGTATAATAAGAGGCTGAAAGCACTGAGGAAAATACAGAAACTCATCAAAAAAGGACAATTAAGAGCAACAAAGGTGAGGCAACATCTTATCACTCTTAAATTCTTTCCTTTCTCAGATGAAAATGAAAGCTGTTAGATAGTCTACAATTAAATCGACCCCCTTTGGCACCCAGATGAGTATAAGCAGATGACATAGATTTGCCAGAGAACAGCTGAAGTGTTCTGATAGTCAAGAGGACATAGGAGGAAAGAAAATGAGATCAGAGTTCCTTGGAAATACGTGGTGTGATTTTTTTTCCATCATGAAATAAATCTTATTTTTACAGAAAGGAACAAAACAAGTGCTAATCCAATGCCAGAAAATTGTAACACAAGGCAGTAAGTTCATAAACCTTTAGAGCTATTACCTTTTATTCAGACTCTGCTGCCAAAGTATCGCTTGGCCAAGTTCCACTATCTTCTAGAAATCAAGAGTTCACGACTCCTCTGCTCTTCCATTTTTCCTCCTAGAGAACATCGAAGTTTGGACTGAGGTGGACCTCATTCCTTAAGAGTTCATCTCCTCAGTGTTTTGCTTACAAGGAACAGTGTGCAGGACTTTTAAGCAATTTGAAATGAATTGTTGAACGATCTCTCTTAGCATAATGTTCGCTAGTTCCATCCATATTGTTGCAAATGGTACTATTTCCTTCTTCCTCTGACCACTGCACTGTATTTCTGAAGCTGATGATAAATAATATTGTATGTCAAGTATAATTATATATACATATAGTCACGGGATGTGGAGTAGAGTGTGGGAATGGAGTCAATGGAATTGTAATAGATAAGTATGATATTGGGGGTGGGAGGGCAATAGATGAGGGAGGGGGGTTGTTTCTGTGTGAAGGGTGAAAAGGATAACTATAGCATTGTTCTTTCTGTACACCTGAAACTAACAATAAAAAAAAAGAAAGATCTCCCAAATCACTGGCGATTAAGTTAGTGGTATTTTCTTTGTTTAGAATGGTATTATAAGTGATGTTGGCGCATCGAATAACGCTTTTGAACCTGATGAAGATATTGAAGACTCAGAAGAGCTAGATATCCCAACCAAGGAAATAGAGATTCAAGTGGATTGGAACTCTGATATCCCAGTGAAAGTGAATGTTCCCAAAGTGCCAATCCATAGCCTCGTGCTTGATTGCGGAGCTATATCTTTCCTGGATGTTGTTGGAGTGAGATCGTTGCACGTGGTAAGGTTCTGGTGTTTTGAATTATAGATTTGGAGCTTTGGCAATAGTAAAATGATACAGTTGCCTAGTCTTGCAGAGGGACAATTGATTGCATGGGCTCTGCAATTTTTTTAAGGGAATGCTTTCGCACTAGACTGTAATATTTTAAAGCACAGGCTATGGAGCCAGACTACCTGGGGTCGAATACTGGCTCTACCACTTGCTGCAGTGTAACTACAGACAAGTTGCTAACTCTNTCGATGGCACGTTTTAGCTGCTGGTTTGGTTTAACTAGGCTTTTAGTCAACAAAAAGCAGCATCCTGCACAGTATTTAATTTCCAGTAATTATAAGGCGGATCCAGAGGGCACATTGCTGAAAGTACCCCAAACAGACACTCTTTCTTCAGGAGTCGTATTTAGCATATGTCCCTGGTCACACTTGAAGACCCACGGAATTTATTTGATTTCATCAGGAACAGGAAATAGGAAGGACTTATTTCTGGTCCTCCCAGGCTCTTATTTTTATAAAATGAGACTAATTTGATCACCACAGACTCTCTATACTTACCAGCAAGTTGCAATAACTCATAAGTAAGCTCCAGGCACTGTGCCAGGCAGGGAAGATCAATGGGTTAGAGAGGGGAGCTGGGCTTTCCCTGACCTCCAGGTTCTTTTGAACTTCTCTGAACCTTAGTTGACTCACCAGTAAAAATGAGGATACTACCACTGACATTGCGGGGTTCTGTTGGGGCTTAAATAAAACAGGTGTGAGAGCTCTTTGCTTAGCCTACAAGGTGTCACACACATGAACATGCAGTGCTCGTTATTTCTTTCAGCCATCAGAAAGGACCCATGGCTCCTACTTCTCCTCCAATTCCACACAAACCCCAGCTGGTCATTTCAGAGTTAACTACAGGAAAATGTCATCTGCAATAAAGACCGAGTCCAAGAAACATCAGAATGATGGGCTCTTTAATAGCTGTGATTTCTTCTAACTTTTTAATCCAAAACATGCTTGTTCCAAAAAATTCTGACCTCAATTTTTCTTTTAGTCCCTCTTGGAATGGCCTTGGAAACATCCCTAGCACAGACATCTACAAAAGTGCTAAGAACTACAAAAATGTGAGTGCCTTTTTATGATAGTTGCTGGACTGGGTTTGCTAGCCTGGATTTTTAGGGGTCACTTATTTCTCCTCTGGTAGGTCAGGGACAAGGTAGGCAAAGAGGTGGTGGGTTTCTGTCAGGAAATTCCCGAAGTCACTAGGTTGTCATGAAAACTTTTAATTCAGTGTGCCCTCTGATATCTGTGGTTTATAGAAATTTTGTCCACGCTAGTTGAATGTCATTTTAATGTGAAACCATTGTAAGAGGACTTTTTAAAAATAGGCAATTCAATTATTTCCAGAAGTTGA